AATTGTGCCCGCACTCCTGGGCCAGGCTCCCTGCTCTCGTGCATTTCCAAACTGCCATGTCACCAGCAAAGTCTTTCCTTTCTCATTCTTTCAAGATAATGTTCATTGCAACCTGTCCTTTATGCTAACAGCGAGAAAAATATTGCACACTTCAGGCATTTGAAAACCATACCGTCTCATGTTTAACTTTCCTGATGCAGCGAATGCCTTTACTAATAATGGAACTGCTATTTCATTCACATTGACAAATACAGGCTTAATTGTTCAATCAGGAAGTGTTACACCTTGTTGTAACAGTGGACCTCTGGAATATTGCATTAATGGACAGATCATTTCTATTTTGAGATATCAGTTTGCTTGCTCCAAACGCTTTTTTTCTATACTGATACTCACTAGCACTTAATAACATATAATAAACAGCCAAGTAGTTTCCTGTCTGCAAGTAAGTAGGTCTGTATATCAAGCTTGTTTGAATCAGTTTCAGAAATCTGAATGCCAGGAATATGTTTGTGGATGTACTGTGTCCAGTGTCCCTGGTTGTGCACAGTTATCTGAAATCTCAGCTGAAGTCTTCCTTATCAGCATACTGTGAATCATCATGAGGGAAAGAACAAGATGTTCTCAAAGTGGTTTCAGAAAAGGTTGTAGGGGATATGGATAGATATAAAGGTGTTTGTGGACAGGCAGCTTTACTATTGCTTTTTTTCTTGAGAGGCTAATCATGTTTTCCTTCTAGAAAGCTTGAAATATCAATTTCACAAAAAAATCGTTAGAGCATTCCCATTGTTTAGGTAGCATGTGGGACTTACAAAAGCTTGAAATATCAATTTCACAAAAAAATCATTAGAGCGTTTGGGGTTTTCTTTGTATTAAAGATTCATGTAATTTACATGACAGTTTTACATTAAGTGAGTTAATAAATGATGTCTCTATCTTCTTTTTAGCTATGTGCAGCTGATAAGCTGGATTTAAAATGTTAACAGATCTTCTGCTAGTCCTTATGTGAAACTTCATCTTTTTCTTGGCCAGTAGTTTGCCTGATAGTTGCCTTTTGGTCAGCCTAATCATGACCTTTTCATGAAATTTCTGGAGGACTTATTTATGATGGAAACATATCTATTTCTGTTAATGTCAATACTGTTTGAGAGGAAATACAAACAGGAAGATTTTGGGGTTTTTATGTTATTGTTACCTTGCTGGTAATACTGTGTTTTATATGAAGTAGTCCATTCTACTCCTTTTTAAACAAGTTATGTACCTTGAATATGTAGGGTGCCTCTTAAGAGGAGTCAGGCATCTGCTCTTCTCTAAATAATCCTGCAAAGTCTCCTGCTGGATCCTGTATCCTGAGATATAGATAGTGCCAAGAACTGCATAGATGATTGATTTGCAATCAGGCAGTGGAAAGCTCAGCACTAGGGAGAGTCCAAGCTAATAGATTATGAGTAATTTATACAACTGCGATCCTGAAACTTCATTTTGGTGGAGTTCTGTAAGGATTAGATCATTTCAAGGCACTTTCCATTAGCTGATACCATTTTTATGCTGAAAAGACTTCCTGTAAAATAAAGTGCTTCCAAAACTTTTTCAAGTTGCAAACTGCTCAGTGCCCTGTATGATGTGTGGCGTGAGGCATTTTGAATTGATGCCGTGTTCTGGTCTGGCTGAGACCAAAACAGTTCGGAAACAGTTGCCATATCAACCAAGATGAAAGTGAAAAGGAACTTAGACCTATATCAGATGATTGCCTCCCCAGACCCTCTACTTCAGTTCTGGGTTGGTTTTTTTTTTTTTTTTTTTTTTTTTTTTTTTTTTTTGTGATTCACCTTAATGCAATTCAGTCAAAGGGATTTCTGTGTGAGTAGTCTGTCACCAGTCCGTCTAGATCTTTCAGAAGTTTCCTAGGTACAAGTTTGTTGATGGACACATCAACATGCACAATACAAAAACTCCTCTGTAGTGCCTGGAAATGCTGTTTAACAGTGGAAGATTCTGACTTCATCATATGATGATTTTTAACCTTTTAAAATATAATGTGCTTTATTTCTGTGTAGTAGGTTTACAACAAGTTGGAAATAGTATGCTTTGGTTTTTCTTGTCCATAGTGTGTGTTCTTTGAAGATATTAGTTATACCTCCTCAAGCTGAAAGTAGTCAGTCTTAAGTTTAATAATATTCAGTTTAGTTGAGATATCTGGTGAGGGTTATGCCTCACTGGTAGCCAGATGTTTATCACCTACTAACAGAACTACTTTATATATCAGCACTTCAGTCGTAGAATGTTTCCTAACCAGTGCTGAATATTTATGGTAATGGCTGTCTTTAGGAAAAGTGGCTAGGTTGTGTATGTAAAAGTGAGTACCTGTTTACATTGCCATACAGAGGTAAATTGCAGGAAAAGCTCCCTATGGTTTAACATTAGTTATTTAGTATTTACTCTCTGATTCCAGAGAGTAATTTTATAAACAATTATTTTGAAATGGATACATTTAGCAACCTGGCTTTACTCCGTGTTGTCAAAAACCTGCTTAGAAAGAAGTGCTATGTGTATTATGGGATCTATTTATGATCACAGACCTTTCATTATTGCTTAAGAATTCATTTTGTTAAATTCTGTACACTTGTAAATGCCAGAGGGGAATAATGTGGAGGATTTCTGCTGTACCATCTACTCTGATAGCGATTAGTTAATTTGTCTGTCTTTGTAAACATCATGTTTTTAGACATATGTCTATTTTTTTCTTGGTCTGTGAAAATTCTATACATTCTACACTCATATAGAAAAATGGTGAAATGTTACCATGTTTTAAAATAGTGGATGTTTTCTTCCAATTGTCCTTAGGTCTCATTAGGTGGTGTTGATCTTACAGTGCGGGTCCTCACAACAGGTTACTGGCCTACTCAGTCAGCCACACCAAAGTGCAACATCCCTCCAGCTCCCAGGCATGCTTTTGAAATATTTAGAAGGTATGTATTAAAACAGATTTTTAGATAGAGGTTTTAAGAAGAAACTTTCTATACTTAACTCACAGATACATTTTACCATTAAAGACATGTTAGCATACTGCTTTTCTTTAGTTCATGTGAAAATTAGGGAATGCAATAGTCGCGTTACGAGGGTTGAGGTTTTGGGAGCTTTTGATTAGAATTCTAATGAGAGTTAATGTTTTAAAAAGCCAAAGTTAGAAATTTCTTAGTGTCCTTAATGGCTCTGAAGTCTATATAACAGTTTAAAGCAATTTCCTCTTAGATACAAAATGTGAACTATGTGTTAAGTTTTTGGTTCAATTACATTACAGGTTTTATTTAGCCAAACATAGTGGGCGACAGCTGACACTCCAGCATCATATGGGTTCTGCAGATCTCAATGCCACTTTCTACGGACCTGTTAAAAAGGTAAAGTTAAATTATGAGAACACCATATCTTTTTTAAAAGTAAGCAAATACACATTTGTAATAACTTCAGAATTTTATAAAATAAAAGTTTACCCATTGATAATATAAGAATAAGAAAAAGATGCCTTCCACTGGCTTTGAAGTCTGATTCTTCCTTTGTAGCGGTTCTGTCTTGACATTTTTGCCTCCCTCCAGATCTAATTTGATTGCATCACTCAGCATCATCTCTCCGTTACCTCATAGAAAAGTAGTAATTTTGATCTTGAAGGAATCTCAACGGTTTGAGCATTTTGAGGTTTTTTTTTTGACTGTGAATCAGTCAAAACTGAAATGAAACTTGTTTCACTTTAATTTTTGGTAATGTGAAAAAGTGTTGTTGAGACAAGTTTAGCCTGCTTTTCATGTGTAGAGTGCTAACAATGTAGACAACATTTTTTTCAAACATGGAATCTTAGTAGAGTTTAGAGAAATACAATGCTTAATGTTTACGTAGACAAGAAAATAACTTGCTCTAGTGATTTAGAATAGTTCTGAAATGCTAAGCTAGAGGTAGTGGTGGCATGATGCTTGGGAACATAGGAGGCTATGTAAAATGAAAACAAAATTATTGTAACACAAAGTATTAATCATGTGCATTTGTGAGGATATTAAAATTGTATTACTTTGTATTATATTGTTGGATAAATATTTTTATAATTTTAAAGATAAGAGTAAGAAAACTGGAGGATGGGCAAGTGGTGGAACAGGGGCCAGAGAGGTGGTGAGGTCTTCATCCTTGGGGATGCTCAGTATTTGACTGGACACAACCCTGAGCATCCTGCTCTAGATGGTCTGGCTTTGAGTGGTGGCTGGACCAGTGGCTGGACTGTGAAACCTACAGAGGTGCCTCCAACCTCAGTCACCCTGTGATTTTAAGACAGCTACCGGAGAGACATTCTCTTCATGCCACCAGGCATATGCTATTCTATCACTTGTGTAGACTGATCTCCTAGATAATTATTTCATCATAGAACTTTTGTCTTACTGAGGTAAAATATTTTGCAATGGAGAATAATCTAATAGTAGTTTTGTAATTTTAAAATAGGAAGATGGCTCAGAGGTTGGTGTAGGAGGTGCCCAAGTAACTGGCTCAAATACACGGAAGCATATATTGCAAGTCTCCACTTTCCAGATGACGATATTAATGCTCTTTAACAACAGAGAAAAATATACATTTGAGGTAAGGATTGTGATTTTCTCACCTGATTTTAAATAACTATTTTAGGCACTTTCTTGTCCTCTTGACTAGACCTTTGAAGATCAAGTGCCTCTCATTCTATTTGAGTGTGGATCAGGCTAATAAATACAGGAAGCAGATCATTAGCAATGCGTCTGGGAAACAATCCTAGGGGAACGAATGATTTGGGAACAGAAGCTTTCAGAAATGTTGAAGAAAGTTGTGAGTGTGGTTATTCCTAGCCCATAGAGTTACAGAAAAGCTGAAGTTGGAATGCAGCAGGTGGCTCCATTTGCTCATTTAATCTTTGAGGAACTGGATTTAGAGGCCAAAGGGTGGAGGAGAATTTGTATCCTGGCTTCTTAAGCACTGCAGTGCATAAATTGGCAGGCGGGAGTAAGCTGTAGGATGAATCAAAGAACTTTCATCCCTTCCCTAGTTACTGGGCCAGAAAGGACAATGAAGATGGTCCAGATAGAGTCTTAACAAGGAGTCTGTAGAGGCATTGCTGGGAAAGGTTGAAGTAGTCAGCCAATAGATGATGAAGAAGCTTTGGGACTGGAGGAGGTTCCTGTGCTATGAGGTTTGAGCGTGGTACTGTTAATGTCAATTAATAGTTTCTTTTTAGATGTTGTCTTCTGTTTGAGGAAGTGTTGGCAGCCTTGAAAAGCAGTATGGATGCAGTTTGAAAGGGAGTGGATTTCCAGATTTTCTCATGTACTTTTGACTCTGCTATGCACAGTGATTGCCTTTTGTCCTGGTTTTTGCTAGGGTAGGGTTAATTTTCTTCTTGGTAGCTAGAAAGCCCTGTGTTTTGGTTTCAGTGAGGATTGTTATGAGAACAGTGTTGATAACTACAAGGACACTGTGCTTGGGCAGTTTCCGAGAACAGAGAACGGGAAGGGGGGAGCGGAGAAGAAAAGTGTAGCAGTTGGTAAAACCCAGAATTGACAGTTGGATTCCAATGAGATATTCCATAGCATATTATGTCATGTTTAGTATATTAACTGGGGCTGACTGGAAAGCGGGGGATTCTCTCGGGAATCGCTCAGGCTCGTTTTTCCGGGATTGCGATTTCGGGTTCAGGGTTCCTTTTCGCTCCTCCGTTATCAGTGGGTGGTGAGCAATTGTACTCTGCATCACTCATA